TTCATGTCCTGTTGCATATGAGAGAGGATGGTGGCGTGTATACAGTTCTCTGTTGCCCATTTGTGTAGAGTTATGAGGCAATGCTGGTCTGCTTTTGATGATGCTCTTTTATCGGTTCAATGGAACAAGAGCTGGTCTTTACTCTTGCCTGATGGGTGAAGCTGCAGAAGATATGTGCATGACTGAATACTGTTGCTCTCTGTTGTCATTTGGGACAAAGAAAAAAAAGAAACAAAGTAGCATTAAAAAAAACAAACCAACAAACAAAACCCCCAAATTAAAACAACAACAACAAGAAGAAGAAGATTAGAAAGTAATAAAACGCAGGAAAACCAAAACTGAGAGGGGTGCAAAATCAAAGGGAACCAGAATAATGAGGTACAGACTGGCCAGGGGTAAGGAAAATAAACCCAGACAAAAGGGACAGTGGAAGACAGGGGGGAAGTAAACAAAGAGCCACACACAAGAGCAAAATATAACAACAAACAAATAAATACAAAAAACTATGGGAAATAAAAACCAAGATGTCTGGCTTGGAACAGTGTATATGCCAGTTCAGATGGTTGAAGTTGATGGTGCCTGTTAGTTTGAGGGTTTTCTGCTTCTCTGATTGGTGATCGAGGCTCTCAGACATGAGCCAGGTCACAGGTAAGATGTTTTCTGATCTAGAGGGCATTGTGGAGTGGCGCATCATTCCTGGGACAGTTTTAGTCGGCTGCAGAGGATCTGGTGGCTCTGCTAGTCTAGGGGATGAGTACAGAAAGGGTACCTAGTCAGAGATGAAGGGATAGTCACCAAGCCCTGAAATGCTCAAGGATGTGTTCTACCAAGGGTAAAGTGCTCCGGAGTATATGGGGCAAGGGTGCCCATTGAGAAGCAAGGCCTCAGTCAGAGATGCCTCCGTTAATCTAAGGGCTAACTTCAGGGTCCTGGTAAAACACTCTCAAGTGGAAAGCCATGGCCGCTCCTGGTGCCATATACAAAATGGCATGGACCTGGCTTCAGCTGGAGCTGATACAAGCCAGGGATCTCTGCCAAGATCCTGGTGGTTGATGATGGTAGTGGAAAGCCACTCCTATGATGCCCAGGATGGCATTAGAGACAACAGGAGAGGTCACATCTTTCCTGTGATCGGATGAAAGCTGGTGTGGACACCTTAGTCCTGCATTCCCCTCAGTGCACATAGTGGTCAGAATTGCTGCCCTTTGTGTTCTGTTCATCATCTTATTCAGTGTTTGCATTCTGTTTTTTCTCGAAGTCAGTGTTTGCAATGCAACTTTGTCTTTCTTTTTAAACTTAGGGTTCCAGACTTATCATCTATCTCTCTGTTATTTTTGTTTCCTGGTGTCTTCAATGCAAATGGTCTAAGCTGCCATCTGTCTAGTCAGCCATCTTACCCCAAAATCTCCAAGGTGGTGTTTTTAGTTTATTTTACTTTGTATAAATGCCTATTATAAACTAAGACATTAGAAAAATTTCAAAGCAAAGCCATCATGTTCAGCAGGGGCCAACTGTTCTATTGATTGATTTAGATTGAAGACCAGTGGAGGGTGTGGGGTTAGGATTGTCTGGGTGTAGGGTTGTCTCAAATTAGGAGGATTTAGGGTTGAATATGGGGAAATCAGTTCTCCCAATACTGACTTTTCTGCAAAGAGAAGAATTACGAGGGTTCTACAGTCTTTTTATTTTAAAACCAACATTGTGGAGGCACACATTTTTACAGTAATAGGAATTTATTTTAGGTGTTCAGATTGATGTTATGACAGATGTATTTATAGCCTGTGTAACTCCCACACTTAACTAGATAGAGGCCAGTTTTAGAACTTCACAAAGTTCCCTTGGCCCTCTTCCCAGACAATGCCTTCTACTTTCTTCCCAGGCAGCCACTGGTCTGTTTCTGTCATAAGTCACTTTTGTCTATTCTATCCAGAATTTATTAAGTAGACTCATATATATGGTAATTCTTTTTCTCGTTTGCATCTTTCACTTTGCTGTAGTGTTGTAGCAATCCGCAGTTCCGTTTTCGTGGTGAGTACTCTTGTAGAGAGTGTGTTGTTGCTGCTGTATTGTCAGATTGGAACTGACTCATAGGTGGCCCTCCAGCAGGTTTGAGAAGATTACACATCTTTCTCCCACAGAGCAGCTGGTGGATTTGAAAGACATATCTTTGGGTTGGCAGTGCAACTCTTTACTTCTAAACCACCAGAGTGCCCTAATAACATTTAGTGGCATTAGATTACATATAAGAGATAAACACTGTACCCAGTGTTTATATAGTATATGTGTAAGGAATAGGTGTAGTTTGAATCTTCTCCAACACACCCCTTATGTACCATTTAAAACAAGTTATTTATCAAAGAAGCTGTTTTAAAAAGTAAATATCAGGTGGAGAGGGATAGGCAGGGAGAAAAGTGCAACAATGAATGAATGGAAATCCAAAATCTCTGTAAATGTTTATTAAAATTAATTAAAATATATATATGTATGTAAATATCAGATACTTATGCTAAGGGAAGTATTCTGAAGCTTTGTCTGACATACTTTGGGCATGGTGCAAGGAGGGACCAAGGGACATCATGCTTGGAGGGTGAAGGGGCAGTGCAAGAGAGGAAGACCCTCGATGAGAAGGATTGATTCACTGACTTGGGCAAAGGAGCTAGGTATGTCACAGACAGTGAAATTAGCTCAAGAAAGAGCAGAGTTCAGAGCTGTTGTAGATAAGGTTGCAATGAGTTGAAAGTGACTCAAATACACATAACAGGAACTATAGCATGCTAAGGGAAGATAAATTTGATTTGTTGGAGTGTTGAATCAAATAGATATATTGTTACGTGTTATGTGGCATTGAGTCACTTACAAATCAGCAACCCTGTGTACAGTAGCTCTGGACCCTGCCCTATCCTGAGTCTATCTCACTATTTCTGACACTTCTATCCCTATTACCCCAGTGACTGTGTCACTCCATCCCATCTAGGGTCTTCCTCTCTTGTACTGTTCCACCATCCTTTTAAGCATGATGTCCTTCTCCAAGGACTATTCCCTTCTGGCAACATGCACAAAGTTTAAGAGATGGAGCTTCAGAATCCTTGCCTCTGAGGAGTAACGTGATTTCATGCTCTCCAGGACAGATGATAAATTGGATTCATCAATGTGTTGAGAGTGTTTCCCATCTTGGATTGTAACCCCCAGGAGCAATCACACATATTACAGATCTAAAATCTACCAATTAAGCTAGTGCTTTCTTTCATATGTCCAGCTAACTTTCACCATAGCAAAGAAAAAACAGCCATGTGGAATTGCACATGGCAGGGGTATTAAATATGTATAGCCTAAGAATGACTTTGTATGAATAAATGATGAGAGATGCATTTGGTCTGCATGTTTTCAGTGCCTCCAGATTTTTGCCTACTTTCAACCTGTGTTCTCAGGATATGACTTTTAAGTTTCCAACAACACAATTTCCCTATCTGGGGTGTATTTTATTAGAGTAGCCATCATCCCTCTCTAAAACCAAACAAAACTCCCCCTGTAAACACCAAATAAATAAAAGTAAGCTACATTTTTACATTCAAGCTCTCAAAACAAAGAGATAGTACAGTGTTTGCAGAGAAAATTGACTATCTCTAATGTGGTTCTATGAATAATTCTGCTGTGGTTGAGCTGAGCTTGATAAGCACTAAAAAATTTATAAAGTGAGCAAAGTGCTTACCTGTGACACTTTGGTGCATAGAATTAGGTCTAATTTTGCATGAGCAAAATGTTTAGTGATGGACCAATTGAGATTTGAAGTACCAAGAAGGAAAGTTTCATAAGGTTAAGCATTACATACATTCTGCCTATAATAATGTGGTTCTAAGATGAATAAGGTCGGGTTCTTCAGAATAAGTATGCTCTATAGCTTTTGAGTTGTGCATATGGTCAATACATTAGCCTGCTAACTGAAAGGTTAGAAGTTCAATTCTCTGGGCACCTTGGGAGAAAGATGTGGAAATCTCCTTTTGAAAAACCAGCTCTTATAAATCCTGTAGAGGACAGTTCTACTCTGATACATCCGGCTACCATGAGTCAGAATTGATTCAATAGCATCTGGTGTTGAATTATTGCCATAACCAACTGAATTTACAATTCTAATTTTTATTGCTTGTTCTTCCCACTTCTTTAAATGGGAAGCTATAAATAAAACTTCAAACTGACATTGATAATATGATTAAATGAATATATCTTCTTTCCAAACTTCCAATTCCATAATACTGTGAGATGTGACTTACGTCAGGAAACTCAGATTTCATGTTTTGCTTTTAAGGATTTGAAACCTATAGAATTTAAAATCTGTAGAATTACAAGGAAGAACCATTTCTATCATTGGCTTTTTATTGTGATTTTAATGAAAATTGACAGAAGGGTTGGGTTTTCATTCATTCATCGTTGCACATTTTCCTCCTTCCTCTTCCCTTCTGCCTATCCTGCTTTTATTTTCTTTTTTTTCCTTGTTGGTCTGCTTATATGGGGCCATATGTACACTTAAACTGCTGTGGTAAAAGCAGTACATGGCTTCTGAATGTTTGGACCGTATGTTCTGTTTTTTTTTTTTTTTTAAATGTGTTCTGTTTTTAACAAAAACCATTTTTAAGGTGTTTTCTTAAAGAACACATTCTATAAACTCTGGGTGAAATTAGGCCCCTTGCAAAGGTTTATAAAATATTAGAGAAATATAACTGTTCAGATATACATATATGACACAGTAAGATATTAACAGTAATTAATGAAATTGTGCCACCTGTGCACCACAGATATTGAGTGTGTTTGAAATTGTTGAGAGATTTTTATCTTATAAACTAAATTATTAACTAAATTCATTTTCTTAGGGAAACGTGTTTTGTTTTCCTCTATGGCTTATAAAAGTCCATTTTTAATGTATTAATCCACAGACTTAAAGTTTTGCTAGAAATTTTAATGCAGATGGAATCTATTTTAATTTTATCTATTTTTTTTCCTTTCAGAAAGCACAAATATGCCAACAGAGACTAGATAGAGAAATTTCCAACTTTTTGACAATGATTAAGGAGTGTGACATGGCTAAAGGTAAAACAAACAGACTCATGGACTATAGAAAGAAAAAAACATGTTTACTAAACCCCATTGTCATATTTCTTAGTTACATAATTTAGATAATTTTAGTTTTGGATTTGTAATTTAATTTCACAGAACTATTTTGGAATTTTAAAAAATGCTGTTTAAAACTGCTTCTTCCTGAGACCTGCTTTATAGGTTATACATAAGTTTATTCTTTTAAGAAAAAAAGCTTGTAAAGTTGACATATTTGGGCTTGTAAATTCGTTTTAACTAGTTAATAAGAACTCTGCTGTTGCATTCTGACAACTTGGATTTAACCCTTGCTCTGCCACTTAATACCTATGACTTCCTACCTGTTTACTTTCTCTGAGCCTTGATTTCTCCATCTGTAAAAAGAAGGGGCTAATTTTTCGCTGGTCTTGCTAGGCCTTTCATAAGTCTGTGACTGCATCTATGAACTTGTCTTCAGTAATAACTTTTTAGTAACATTCAGTAATAACATTCCATTAGGGTTGTCTCTAAATACTCCCGAGAATAGAAATCAGGTATTAAGGAAAAACTGCTTATTACTTTATAAATTTAAAAATTATCACATGTTAAATGTTAGGCTTAGTCATGATATGAATATAAATGTGTCCACTAACATATAATTGAATTTGTTCTCTGTGAATTTATGATTAACTCTCAGCTGTAATCATGAGCTCGTCTCCCTGAGTGGACTCCTAGGTTCACTTTATAACCGCTCAGGGAGTATGAAGAAATGCTAATATTAGCATAAACTGAGCATCAGAATTCCATGTCTGTCCAAATGTAGCTCAAACATTCTTTTACTTCAGTTAACCATACATCTATTTGTATCTGCCATTTTTGAAAAAGACAACAGTTCTGATTGTCCTCAGTAGAAATTTTACTATTTTTCAAATCAGACTTGTATACATTCAGTCATTTAAAAGTATACAATTCAGTTTTGTTTTGGTAGGCAGAGTTGTACAATCACCAGCATCATATAGTATTAAGACACCATCTTCCAAAAAGTAAGAAGACATATTGACAAATTTTAAAAGAGTTGATACGGGCCAGAGAAATGTAAAGATTAATTCACTTAAAGTGCATTAAAACAAGGGATTATATCAGAACTGCACACCAAGTTAAATTGTTTGTTTTTGTAAACCTTGGGTCATGTCTCTTTATTCAGAATATGGGGGATGTCACTCAGTGATACCATTTATGTCTGTATTGTTAAATTTAATATATTGTTAACAATGACTGAGCAGGTTATATAGCATAGTTCGAATAACCTTGCATCGTATGTTGTCTTCAAGAAGACTGATGAACATGCTTTGCTCCAAACTAAATTAGTAATGAGTTTTCAAGATGAAAAACTAGAGTATTTTAATTCCGATATTACGGTTGTAATTGCAGTCTTAATTTTTGTATAAATCTTATCATTGACTTGAAGACCATGCTCTCTTTTTCACCAGCTTCTGCCAGCCTGGTGCTGCTCTGTGTCCCCTGCATCCAACTTACTGCAGGAGCTTTCCTTTCATCTCCCTCCCCTTTGGTTCTGTCCCTGCATTCTTTCCTTGGAAAAAATTGAGTAGGATGACTAAGGAACCCTTCAAACTGGAATTCTGTGAAACACTGCATTCTTGCTTCCAGATTAATTTTATAGACTAGCTTATAATCACATATATTTTTAAATGTACCTTTACATTTATAGGATAAAATGCAAATTCCTTATCCTGGCTTTTAAATACTTATATAGTTTGATCACAGCCAATTTCTCAGCTTTATTTTCAACTATTCCCTTACATGCTCCCAGTGAATCTATTTGCCTTAGATCCTATGTTATGTTTTTGGGTCAGAAATGTCTTCTGAAATGCTTTCACTTTCAAGAGTGAAATTTAAACTTGATTTTTATCTGGAAGAATGACAGAATATATTTATATATATTGTTGTTGTGGCATACCATGGGGTCAGAACTGACTAATAGCTGGCCCTCCTGTGGGTTTTCAGAGGCAGTAAATCACACATGTGGAGATTGCCCATCTTTATCCTGTAGAACAGCTGCTGGATTTGAACCACTTACTTTTGTGTCAGCAGCACAATCCTTTAATAAATATATATATAAAT